TGATCAACCCGTTGTTGAGAAATACAGGCCACCAATTCCAACGCAACAGAGTTCTTGTGGCAAGTGTGCATGTGGGAACAACAAGAGACAAGGCAAGGATACGCCACCAGGGGCAGGAAGAAACAATTTCTCAGTGAAGAAAAAGACATGTTTTCACTGTGGAATACCTGGACATATTGCCAGAAATTGTCCTAATCGCACATATGTTCCTTACTATGCTCAAGGCCGGCAGAACACGCCAAGTGGGAGATACTTCAGAAGAAATCCTTCCAGTTCACGTTCAAACAATGTTGACTGGAACGCGCAGAAGGCAAAGAATCAAACCCACAAGGCCAAGAATTCGAATGTCAAGGGCAAAAAGGGAGTGTCGGCCAAGAAGCCCAATCCAAGAGATGCTCCGGTGAAACAAAGACCAGCTAAGTCAAATTCATCTCGAAGATCGGCATCAAGTTCCAAATCAAGTGCCGAGACACCCATCGGATCGAACAAGAAATGGGTTAAACCCGAATATAGATGGTAACCAAAGGATATGTCATGGGAGAGAGTACCCTGCATTGACGACAAAGGTCGACCCAGTTTCAAAATGGACTGGGTTCCAAAGACCAATTAATCATGCTCTGTGTCGGAGCAGCTTTGGAGGTATATCATCAAAATTCGGTTTGTTGGTAGTGGCTGCTCCTGGCATATGATTAGGGACATCTCTCAACTGTACAACACTCAGAACATTATTTGAGAGTATGTGTTCTTTGCAGGAAGGGAAGAAAGGAAGGGATCACTCATGGGGTTAGTGCTTAATGATATGAAGAATTTCTGGATCTGTTCTGAGATTATGCTTGCTATTCTCAGACCTTCTGAATGCAGATTCAATCGGTGACTTACGGTTTGAATTTTCTTCTCTATACTCTTGAGTTTTTCTTAAGTTGATTCGCTTTAAAGACTAATTTTTGTTTTAGTTTAGTTTAAATTTGCGCATTTTCCTTCGTTTCTCTCCTATGCACAAATTTAGGGGGAGAAATAAAAACAAAACAAAAATTAAAAATAAAAATAAAAAAAAGGAAAAAAAATTATGGTGTTAATGAAATGTGCTTGAGGGAGATGTTTTGGGAAGTGATATTATCATGTGATAACAGGCAACCTGAGTCTGCGTAACGTACCCAAAGTTGAAGGGTCTATTCTCTGGTTTGATACGTCGGTAGGCACGAAAAATTTTAAATGGACTTGACTAGGGAGGTTTTAACTTAGGAAATTTATAGACTTGACAAATCTTGACCTAGTTAGATACGTTCAGCCTGACAATACGACGCTCGGATAGGTTGAGCAGGGAGATATACATGAGAATCTACCCGTCACATTAATTGAACCCGTACTTGGAACCGTGGCTAACTTTTCCTTGATGTGCGGATTCTGTCCTTAATTCCCGTTGGATGGGGCGACTGGTAAATTACGATAAATTAGGTCTGTAGAATATCATTTTCTTTCTTTCCGTCTGTTAGTCATATGTTGCACCCTTTGCGTAATTGGAAGAGATCCGACCTGGATTAAAACATATGCAACTCTATTTATCTAAATGTTACATCTATGAAATTCCTCCTATCTGTTAGCCATATGTTATCTCCTTTGCGTGACCTCAAATCCGACCTGGTACACATCATATGCAACATTCTTCTTCTCAACCCCTCTGAAGTAATAAGTAATAGAATTCTAGATCTATTCTCTCTCTGAATGGTTGTCTGCTCACCTGATGTAAGGAGTACTCTGGAAGTTCTTGATGGCTGGGGCATATCAGGAAGCGGGAAACACGTTCCAGTACACTTAAAATTGAACACATACAGATTGTCTGTAGATCTCGCTGCTCAATTTAGGTGGACAACAATATCCCTGGTCGTCGTCAGATGAATGGACCCTAAGATATAGTATCTAAGGAATTAGGATCATATATAAATTTTAGAATTTTAAGTTCACCCTGTCTTGTAACAAATAGTATGTTCTAAATTTGTCACAATTTTTCGTGTTTAAGTGGATAACAATATCGACGATCGACTAGACAAAGATGCGAATATGAAAGGTACCGACAAGTGGATAAAGGTTTTCTAAAAACTTTGATCCCAAATCATTCTTAAAGTTAGATATCATTTTATTTTTGTTAAATTTGTTCATAGTTTCTTCTAGTTTATATATTAGGGGAGAATTAAAATTTTAAAAAAAAAGGAAAACAAACAAAAATCAGAAAATTAAAAAAATCTAAAAATAGTGTTATTTATGTTTTATTACTTGTTCAAAAAAAATCAAAAATTCAAAAAAAATATATTTTAATTTGTGTTCTAAGTTTTCTTTTAGTTTTGTTTTGTCTTGAAAAGTGATTTCAGGTAAAAATAAGACTCATGGAGTTTGTGTTGAAGATTTTTGAGCCAAAGCCTCGTCCGTGAGCATCGAAGAATTCACATTCGAAGGACCAAGAAATGAAGATTATTCTTTCAACATTCAATCCTTTAACCCCAGAAGCAAGGTGAAGCAGAAATTGAAGAATATGCAACGAATTGCTTTGAAGCCTCCTCAATCAGTCTGTTGCTATCTTTGTACCTGCTGAAGTGATCCAGAATATTTGTTCTCTCTGATGTTCTCTCTGAAGATTCTCAAGCTGAAAGCGTCAATTTTCAAGAATCAGTACAAGAAGCCTCCTCACCCAATAGGCGTTCAATGTCAAAATCTTAAAGAAAAGTTCAAGTGCTCAAGATGAAGTCATTCATTGAAGATTCATATGTTCATCCTGATGCTGTGAAGAAACCGAAGGTTAAAGCTGAAGCCAAGCTCCCATTGAAGATTGACAAGAAGAGTCAGCTACTTTTTAGGGGGATCTTGTTGGGTCATTTAAGAAAATAAAGCTATAAACCAAGGGGGAGATTGTTGGGTCAAAATATGGTTTATACTTTAATTTTCTAGGCAATTGTATTTTTTTGTAATAATTATGAGTTTGTGGTCATGTTTACGGCTGAGTTTACGGCCGTAAACACCTTACGGCCGTAAATGGCCGTAAACTCATTTACGGCCCATTTTTTTCCAGCCCATGTTCCCTTAGTATAAATATAAGTATTAGGGTGTGAGGAATGATTTGATAAACCCTAGAGAGTTGACGGCCAGAGAGAGAGAAAGGAACGTTTGTGTGGGTGAATCTTGTGTAAGGAACTTAATTTATATTATCAATTCATACATAGATTCATATTATTCTTCTTCTCCTTCTCTTCTATTTGATCTGATATCATCCGTTTGATTGGGATTCCGCACCGTCAAACGGATCTGATTGATACACAAGCAAATTAGGGACTTACAACCCTAATCCCTTCATCAAACAAGAACATGAAATTAAAAAAATGAATTTTTGGTATGTGGTATTTGGGGAACTCACTGAGCTTCGTGCTTACGGTTTTCAGTTTTAGTTTCAGGTACTTCGTTTTCAAGGAAAGGAGTCAACTCGATCGCAACGTATCACACTATGTTTTCTGCACATGAGATCTTTGGGATTGCACTATGATATTGTTTTATGATAAAAAAAATTTGATTATTGGCACTTTGGTTTTATGAATTATTAAACTAAAAATGAAATTTTTAGCCCATAATTATGGGATGTTACATCTATAATCTGTTTTTTCTTCAACCTGCTCAAACCCTAACAATGGCGGCCACAAATGCTAATGTTGATCCATCTCAGACAACTAATGACATTACTTTTCAACCACTCATGAAGATTCAAAGCACTAATTTCAGAGTCCAACCTGATGTTACTTAGTACCTTGAAGAGTTTCAGATACTCATCGTTGCTTTATAGAGTTCTGTTCTGTCAAGGGCCATGTTTTCTGCTTTCTCTATGCCATTAGCGTGGTTATCTCTTGCTGGTTCAACTGCAGTGTATAGCAAGACAATGAGAGTGGTTACCTTCTAGTTGATCAACGACAAGAAGTTTAAACTGACCAAGAATTCATTTGCTCAGGTCTTGAATATCCCTACTATCGAACCTTTCTATGAGATTTTGAATGAACAGGTGCTTCACATGTTCAACGAGATGGGGTATCAACCAGTTCTCACAAAGATAAGTGATTTCAAGAAATCTTGTTTGCCTTGTATCTGGAATTTTCTATTTGGTAATTACCCTCGATGCTTGACGGGTCGAAGTGTTGGAATAGATAAGGAAAAACTAGAAATCTATGCCTTGGGAGCAGGTATCTACTATGGTTTACCTATTGATTATGCAACTCGGTTGTGGGAGGAGTTTGTGAAAAGTATTTGAAACACGAATGTGGTTAATGGGATTTTGTGTGCTCGTTATTGGAGCCTGATTTTACAATATGCTTATGAGAAGGAAGGTATTTCAGTTCCTAAAGATGAGCAGACAACTGAATTTTCCTTGTATTATTTTCCAAAGATTGTCGAAGATGTTCTGGATATATTTCCGATGGTTGCAAACATTCTAGATGGTATGCTTCGCAAGGTTGATCCTTGAAATCCTATTTTGCTGGCATACTTGACAATAATTAAGTCGACTGTTGAAACTGGTGTTTGAATACCTAAGAGTATTGGTGGTCCATCGAAGAAACGAAAAGAATCTAAGAAGGAGGTTAAGGGTAGTCCTTCAAAAAATGTACTGAGCCAATGGAGAAAGTTATTCTAAAGAAAGTTGTCAAGTCTGTTAAACATTCAAAGGAAATTAATAAGCCAACTGTCGAAGAATCTTCTAAACCTGCCAAGGAGGTCATGCCTTCAAAATCTAGGTCTTGAAACGTTTAAATAAAATGGATAATCGACCACGTGATTCACTAGAGAGGTCCAACAGTTTTCCACCTAAAGGTGTACCCCAAATCACTCGATAGCCACAAATCAATCGAAAATGTGTTGTTATTCATGAAATTCCAACTCTTGTGTCTCGTGCATCTAAAAAGAGAAGATTTGAAGATATCGCTAAACGGATTTATAAGAAGAAGAAGAGGAGGGTGGTGATTGAAGATTCAATGTATGATGACGAAGTAGTACCAGAATCGCCAATTCGTGATGATAATCTGGGTGTTCCATCACCACCGAGGGATTCTCCAATCAAGTCGAATGTCGAGGTGACTGGAGGTCTTGATGGCTCTGTGAAGACATCTCTTGTGGACACAACCATTAATCAAGGTGATAATCCAAAAGTATCTACTCCTAAGAAGACTTTTGTTACACCACCCAGAGTTTCGAATGTCGAATCAGTTACTAAGGAGGTTCGAACATCAGGCATCCTTGCAAACATATCTCATATGGATGCAAATGTCAACATGGGTCAAGGAGTATCGAACAAAGAAGCCCAAGGTAATCCTACTCTTGTTATTTCTTCCTCTTTCGAAACATCTACTTTTGATACAACTATTTCGCTTCCACCATTCAATATTCCTATTTCAACAACTTTACCTCAATCCACACAATCACCAACCTTTGAAAACATTCTTCAACAACCCATCATTTTGTTATTTCCATCCTAAACAATTGAAGGCCCCAAAACAGTTCATGACGATGACACTACTGAAGATGGTGAATTTGTGGGTACTTTTGCTGATATAGAGTTTGATCCCGAAGAAGAGAATATTCCTGATCATATGTTGATGTTAGGAAAACAATTTAAAATTCTCAACAGGAAGTTGAATTCGTTGTTATAGCTTCTAGTTGATGCAGGGGGTAAACATCATGTGCCTGACATAGAAGTCGATGTTATGCTTAAGGCTCAAGAGCATCGGTTGCGAAACGAGTTGGAGATATTGGATCGGAACAATGAGAATCGTGTCAAAGCTCAATCTTTGACTCTCAATCATGAGCTTAAAGAGTTGAAATATGGGGCACGGTAATGACATTTTTTGTTTGTTCAAGATGTAGAGAAAGTTCATGAGGATGTCAACCTGAAGATTGAAGAACTCTGGGTTGATATGGCGAAGGAAGTTGCAGCCATTTCTCATGATTATTCCCTCTTCATACCAAAGTCGATATTATAGCTGATGCAGTCGCGAATGTGGTCAAGGGGTATATGTCTTTAATTCCGAAGATTGATAAGAAGGCTAAACTTGATGATCAGAACTTTGGTAAACTAGAAGATTTAGTGAATAATATCAAGAAATTAGTTTCGAAGACTGGTTCCTCATTTACATCACTTCTTACGCAAGAGCTTTTAACTAAGAAACTTCGTTTGTTGGAGTCTCCCATTCACAATGAACTAGCTCCGGTTGCCAAGCTAGTAAATCTGATGCCAACGGATGCCACATCTGTTCACACAGGGGTGCAAGGGGGAGAAGGGATAGGTGTTGGAATGGATATGGGTTCGAAGATTAGCATGGGAGGAAGTGGATCTTCGAAAGGTAATGATGATGCGAAAGTTGTTGGGAATGTTATCTCTACTTAACTTCATACTTCATTACCAAAGACTTCTTCTACAACTACTTCAACAACAACAACAACAACAAGACCTTTAATGTAACACCCATAAAATTCAAGCCAATTTAAAAAAATTTAAAACATTTCAAATCATTAATTTATTACAATTTGTTTTCAAAACAGTTTAACCATCAGAGTATCCCCAGAATCAAATCATGAAAATATAAGGAGGTGCACGATCACGCCTTCACCTTCCCGCGATCATCAGAAGTACCTAAAACATAATCAACAATTGCGAACCCGAAGCTTAGTGAGTTCCCCAAAAATACCAACTCCATACCCATATAACCATATCATATAACAAATACCAAACAACATGCATATAGAGTCTAGAGTAAGACTGAATTGCCCCTACCGGGAATGCAGTCTCACTGGTCCACTCTCAGAACCTTTTGCATGTCTGGTCCCCCCACCAGGGCCTTCAGTCTATCTGGACCGTTCGTCAGGCCTTCGGCCTGACTGATATGCCCTTAGGGCTTGCAGTCTATCCGGTCCCCCTAGGTTTGTTAGCCTTCAGCATAAAGTAGGACCGTCTCAACCCAACCAAACACAATATGTCGACATTTAAACAATCATGATCAAGTAAGAACATAATACATGTAACAACAATCATACATTTCACTACTGCCTATTAATCCTCAAACCATATACAATCCCGCTATCAACTAACCCCCATAGAATGCGTAATCATAAGTAACCAAAGGTGAGATAGCCACTCGAACAAATAGTCCTACTCTAGAGCCATAACCAAACATGGAACAGGCAAGAGAGCCTAGACCAAGAGTTCTCATTCTATCTTACATGACCATCGCCAGTCCCTAAGGGCACTCCATAGATGATAACCAGCAAGCACAGATAACATATAGATCTATAGATCACTAACATAGCAACCATCCTATAACCAGGATACTGATCTAACCGATCTCTAACATAGAAACCATCCTATAACCAGGATACCATCATAAAGCATAATGTGCAATGAATTCGAATAAAAATCCGAAAAGGCCCGACATTGGTGCCTTCGACCCTATTAGTATAGTGAGGACAATTCACCTGGCACTGCTGAAGTCCGGCGGATGAAACTGCAGCTACTGGTTGATAGATTCCCGAGCTGCCAACATCAAACAATACCCAATTAATAATTGGGTTCCAAGCCTAAGGTCCAACTCACACTCCAAAGGCCCAATAGTCAAGTAATAGGCCAAATCCCAACATATGGCCCAATTTTCCAAATTGGGCCCAACCCTTCACATGGGCCTTACCTTAAGGCCCAACACCCTATTCTGGTCCAAATACTTGGCATTCCAATGGTCTAATATCTCATAATCATAAAGGCCCAATTATGGCCTATTTATGGCCTAATATTCCAAATTAGGCCCAAGTATATCTAATGGGCCTTATCCTAGAGCCCATCTAAGTATTTTAGTCCATTTACTTCTGTGACATCCCAAAAATCATGGCCAGAAAAGACCGGTTTTGTTTATACTTTATTTCAAAATCAGAGTCATCTTTTAATAAAAGGGTTGCAGAATTCGTCCCAAAACAATAATATGATAAAGATTTATCAAAATCATTTCCATAGAAATGTATTTCATTAAAAGACTTGGGATGTCATGTTCATACAGATCAAAAGCATAAACAGTACAATATAAGCCTTACTACATTATTTCATATCTACAGGCCTATATCCGTAATCCCTCGTCCAAAACATCACACCTATGCTCATGCGCCACTACCTGTAATACATAAAACTGAGTAGGTCAGGCTTGGGAGTCTGGTGAGCACATAGGGTTTTCAACTCACAATAAATAAGTTTATTAATTTCATCAATCAACAATAACCCGATTACCCGTTCCCGTTATCCTCACTTTACGTCCCTAAACACCTATCATAAGGGACCTAGCCTAAGGATCATCATCGGGACGGACACTACTGCTAAGGGGATTCCTCAGCAATAAATATCCTAAAGGCAACCATGTGGGGGATGGAGTACACCGGTGAACACATCGTTCACAAACACCTACAGCTTGCGAGCCAGCTAATGTTCCACTGGACTGTCTAGAAGAGTCCGTGGTCGTCATCCATACTCCGCTAGATGACAGAATCAACAACATCAACATCGAGGCCTCTCATCATTTTATCACACATCACCTATTATATCTACCCATGTTTTACCCCAACATTTTTGTAGATATAAAATACATATATAGTTTAAATCATTGTAAACATGTATAACAACGTTTATCCAGCATAGATAGCAAGTATTCTGATAATATGCACACATAGCACGTAATTTATATAAAATACTTCATATCTATGTGTAAGCTGAAAGTAACTACGCACTCACCTGATTAGGTGGTGACTCAGCACTCGGACAGCACTTCGATACTCTCAAAATGATATTCCTTTGATAAAACCTCGTATCGATACCACTAGGGTTTAGTCTAATGATAACCGCGACAAATTAATTATCTGACTATTATTATTATTATATAAGCGTTAATAAAACTCAATATAACTCATAATAATAGCCCAAATAATTAATTTAAGGACCTAATAACATTCCTATATTAAAACATAAGCTAAACTAAAGATAGGATAGGTACAGCTCACTTACAGCGGGTTTTTCTCGAAAATCAGGCTTCGCTGGAGCAGCGTTCCCGAGCCGAAAGGCTCTTTTCTTGGGACTCCGAGAGCCTCGAGGCTTCCTTCGGGTGCTAGGGGTTTACCTAGGCTTTTAGGGGGGGTTAGGTAGCTTAGAGAGAGAGTTTAGAGAGAGAAAGAAGAAGGTTGAGGGGTGAGGAAATGAGGGAACCTGGCACCTCTATTTATAGGGGAGAAATCTGATGGACTTGCCGAGTCTGAGTCATGACTCGCCGAGTTGGTGCATGTGGCAACCTTCTGGTGGTGCCACGTGTCCAATTCTGGTGGTGCCACGTCACCCCCTATCGCGTATCAGCCTTCAAACTTAGAAAAATCATAACTTTCGCATACGAGCTCCGTTTTCGACGTTCTTTATATCCACACATAGCTAAAATCAAGATCTACAACTTTCGTTTAGACTCCGTTGGCTAATTCTCGACCGATCTCAAATTTAATAGTAGGAGGCGTTTAGACTGTTAAATGATCGCGAAGAATTCATAACTCCTTCATACGGACTCCGTTTTCGTATGTATTTTTACCATTGAGCTCCTATTAATGAGATCTTCAAATCTCATTTAGGTTGCGTAAGCCAAAAACCGCTCGAACTAAAATTCGAGTTTCGGGTCGTGCACTACTAAGCCGAATCTTAACTTCTTCATACGAAGTCAGATTTGGGCGTTCTTTTTATGGATTTTCTCGGTTTAACATATTCTACGAATTTCGTTTAGATCACTAAGGCTAAAAATTCTTCTATCGTAAGTTCACTATTTACGTCTCCTGGTGCCGTGCCGGTTTTGCTGCAAAAATTCGGCGGGCCATAACTTCTTCGTTATAGCTCGGATTTCGGCATCTTTATATGTACGGAAACCTTGAGACACATTCTAAAACTTTATGTAGAGATATCGGGATTATCTCACAATTTAATTTTGACGCTCATTTTTATTCTTTATTATACATTTATAATTAAATAATAAACACATAAACACACATAATTCACATAATACTCAATATTTCATCTTTAATGCTTCAAAAAGAGTTACAAGAGTTGACCTAGACTATTATATTGACAAAAATGCTTAGCCCTGAAACCCGGGCGTTACAATTCTCTCCCCGTTAGGATGATTCCGTCCCGAAATCATGCATCAGCAAACAGATGTGGATAGCGACTCATCATGTCATCCTCTGTTTCCCAAGTGAGATTCGGCCCATTCGAATGTTTCCATCGGACTAGCACCAAGTCGAGCATCTTGCGTCGTAACTTCTTAGTCTTACGGTCAACAATTGCCTCAGGCTCTTCGATCAGCCTTTTATTCTCATCCGTCCTTAACTCTGAGATTGGAATTATGTCGGGAACATTTCCCATGAATTTCCTCAAATAACACACATGGAAGGTGTTATGAATACCATTGAGTTCTTCGGGCAATTCCAGCTTGTAAGCTTGGTTCCCAATCTTCTAAAGAACTTTGAACGGTCCAATAAACCTTGGACTCAACTTTCCCCGTTTCCCAAATCGTATAAGTCCCTTCCACGGTGAGACTTTAAGCAAAACGGAATCCCCAACTTCGAAGGTTATCGGTCATCTTTTCTTGTCAGCATAGCTCTTCTGACGATCCTGAGCTGCTAACATTCTTTCCCTAATCACCTTCAATTTCTCAGCAGTCTCATGGACTATCTCGGGGCCCATAAACTGCTTCTCTCCGGTTTCAAGCCAACAAGACGGCGTATGACACTTCTTTCCATACAAGGCTTGATAAGGTGCCATCTTGATGCTCGAGTGAAAACTATTGTTGTAGGAAAATTCTACTAGAGGTAAGTGCTCGTCCCAATTCCCTTGGAATTCGAGGGTACATGCTCTCAGCATATCTTCCAACGTCTGAATCGTTCTTTCGCTCTGACCATCAGTTTGCGGATGGTAAGCAGTACTCAAACACAACTTTGTACCCAACTCCTCTTGTAGACTCCTCCAAAACCTTGACGTGAAACGACTATCACGATCTGACACAATCGTAAAAGGGACACCGTGAAGTCTGACAATTTCCTTCACGTAAGCATTTGCGAGCTTATCCATAGACCACTTCTCGTTGGCGGCTATGAAGTGTGCACTCTTGGTGAAACGATCCACGACTACCCAAATCATGTCGTGTCTGTTCTTCGTTCTGGGCAGTTTAGTTACAAAATCCATGGTGATGTCTTCCCATTTACCCATGGGTACAGGTAAGGGTTCTAAACTCCTATACGGTTTTTGATGTTGTGCCTTAACCCTTGCACATGTTACGCACTCGGCCACATACTTCGCAACATCGAGCTTCATCGTTGGCCACCAGT